AGGTGAGTAATGTAAAAGTTTACATCTAGGGATTATTTCCTCAGCATTTGCCGAGGCTTCTACGTACTTAGATGGACTTTCCATGGGAGCTTTTGTCTAGCACGTGCAATGAAAAGTAATTTGTCCTTTAAAGATAATAAAACAGCAAATGCCTAACACTATCGGAATGGTTTTTTATAGCCCAAGTGAAATCACTGACTGGGTAAGAGGCTCCTCATTTCTATGTGGAATAGGATACCACCCGCGCAGTCTTCCAGAAAACACAGGTGGCTCGAGTTCAAAAGAGAACATGAGGGAAGAGACGGTGGCCTTGTCCGGCTGCTGTAAAAAGAGATCCACACCAGCCTTCTTTCTCAGGTGAGCACCACTAAGGTGAACACTAGGCCCCTTGCTACTTCATAGGTTCAACGTGGCTGCAAGGCTCGTGTGATTTACCTTCCAACATGGGGATGCCTGTGTGTATTACAGAGGTGACCAAACTAGAATGCTGAGTGAGCCATGCTTAATTGCCTGGTGGGTAAGGCGTCACTTGGGCTTCCAAAGGTAGAGATGGGGCTGGGAGAGATGGTTGGCCCTAGGATCTTTCAGACTAGCCTATGCTGAGAGGAAGATGATCCAAACGAACACAAAGATCCATGAGTTCCTAAATTTTGGTATCTATTAAAAGGGTACAAGAGATTAACTATGCGGCTGTTCACTGCCCTGTGTGAGCAGGGGTGGAGGCGGGGCTGGACACAGGCAGGAAGCAAATGAGGTCGCGTGTGCAAAGATGTCTACTTCAAAGGGACTGAGGGCTGGAAGCATGGCAGACAGCTCTTCCCCGTCCAGTTGCCAAATGAGCTAGAGTGGGGTCCTTATTCCAGGTTTAGCTATACCATCTTCATGGCAACAGGTAATACTGAAGACTAAAAATGGGTCCCAGAGTAAAGCAAAGACTCTCAGCCGCACCAGGAAGCTGCTCAGGAGGAACTTACGGGAAGGCTTCAACTCCACGTGAGCCTTGTCCTGGAGCCCTGAGGACTCTATCTTTCTCAGCCAGCCATGTATTCAGTTTCACTGTCTGTAGGTCAACTATTTCCTTCTGACAGAAATGAATTAGCTGGCAGCTCATTTGTCCATGCTGTTCGAGGAACTATCTACAACACAAAGATGGGGCAGGGTGGAAAAGGCGTATTTGGGAGAACACAGGTCAGCCACCTTTGGGGAGACGGTCCATGCCTTTGGTCTGTTGTTTTCTCGGCGCTGTAAGGGGAGAACGTGGATGCAGGCAGGGTGAAAGCAAACGCGCCTAGCTGCGTTTCCATCACACTCCAATTGTAGATACTAAAACTGGAATAATCTGCGGTGTCAGATTATTTAAAGTTTCTTTTTTTCCCCACCACAAATGTGAAAACCATCCTTGGCTTATGGTGATGCCGTAGATTTGGCAAAGTTTGCCAAGTTTTCACTGGCACCTTCCCTCCCTCTCTCCCTCCCTCCCAGACTTGAAACCACACTGTAAAGAATACATGAACACTAGGAATGAACCCATGCTCACCTTTCATGTTACATCTGTGACCGCATGATCGCTCTTTATATGCATAAGTGAGAGACATTTGAATGACTGAAGGTGACCAGATAACTTTTTTGGAGGAGACTTGAGCCTCTGGCACTCAAAGTGTAACTTCTTCAGCTTAGTGTGCTGCTTAAAAGCAACGACGAAAAATGCACCTCCTCTTGAAGTTTTCACCGTATAAAGATCGTCAACATTTGTTGGAGAAACGACGTAAGTCATGGTAATTAAAGTCAAAATGGATGTGAGCGAGGGATGCTTGGCCTTCCCGTTGAGAAGTTAACCGGGTGGCCAAGAGTAAAATGGGACCTTAATTGATGATGCATCTCATTTACAGCTGTTTTAAGTGGGCTTAAGAAGTAGAGCTACCCAGAGTTCAACTTTCCAGGAAGAGCCAAGCCCTGTGGACTATAATTCTAAACTGATTTATCAAGGAGAAATCCAGCTAATCTATAGCAACAAATCCACTTATACTTAACAATAGATTTAAATTTTCTTAGTCGTAAACATCAGTCTAAGGGACCAAGTGTTACTGCACCAAAGGATGACAGAAGCATTGAAACGGAAGGCCTACTTTCCTGCTAAGGTTCAACTAAACTCTTTGAGGCACATAATTGGCAACATAGGAAAACACACACAATTCCATAACACATGGTAAGAGTAAACAATTTCTCTTCCTGTATTTCCCCTTAGAAATGTAGAATGGCACCAGGTAGTGCAAAGTGGAGAAAAGTAACGGCAGCCTTGTCTCTTCCAAGGTAGACGGACTTCAGCCAATTCAAAGTGAAGGCAGCCTCTTCCTCCAGCCATGGACGACTAGAGCTTTTCTTTCAGCTTCAGGTCAATGCTGTGAAGGGTAGGAAAGAATGAGAGAGAGAGGAAAGACAGAGACAGAGACAGAGATGGGAGACAGAGATGGAGAAAGGGAGAGAGCCAGACAGAAAGGCAGAGAGACAAGTGGGAGAGAGAAAGATGAAGCCTGAGAAACATCCAGCCATGTTGTAATAGTTTGCTTCTTTCTGAAAATGAATCATGCATGTGTTTTTATACCAGAAAAATCAGGTCCAACACCATCCTCCCCTGATAGCCATGCTTTTCTTCACATATAGAATGGGCTTATTTTTACACACTTGTTTCTGGAATATTGTGTGTGTGTGTGTGTGTTGGTCCTAGACTTGAACTCAGGGCCTGGGTGCTGTCCCTGAGCTTTTTTTGTATGTAAGTGCTCTACCACTGGAGGCACAGCTCCACTTCTGGCTTTGTTCGTTTAACGGTGGTTAATTGGAGATAAATATCATAGACTTTCTTGCCCAAGTTGGCCTTGAACCACAATTCACAGATCTCAGCCTCCTAAGTAGCTAGGGATTGTAGGCATGAGCCACCAGCACCTGGCTTTAGTCCTTCCTTCCTTCCTTTCTTTCGTGGTGGTGGTGCTCTTTAAGACTAGAATTTTTACAAAGAAGAAAAGCAAGAACCATGGTTCTTATATTTCACTTTGATTCCCCCTCCATCTCTCTTTCCCTCCCTCCCTCCGATGCTTGCCTGCCTGCCTGCCTGCCTCCCTCTCTCTCTTTCGTTACTAACCAGTGGTCAGGAGGAGGAGGATTGATCGATTCTACATTCCACTTGATCCAGTTTAGAAAATGTTCTCCTCCTGGTGCTTTTAGGAATAGTACAGTAAATGGCTCATTTAAAAATATACTCCCTTTTGAAAGTGGCCTTTTTCCCCTCTGCCCTTGAGTAGACCCAGTGTTTAATGAAACTTAAGCAAATGGATGGAACCTGACTGTCTTCCTTTCTAGGGTGACTTTATATGTGACTGTCATTCTCAAGATTTGTTTACAATTTTTTCTGAGGTGTGTGTGTATGTGTGTGTTTTTTTGGGGGAGGGGTCCAGTCATGGGGCCTGAACTCTGGGCCTGGGCGCTGTCCCTCAGCTCTTCAGCTCAAGGCTAGCGCTCTACCACTTGAGCTACAGCACCACTCCAGCTTTTTTCTTTTCACTTATGTGGTGCTGAGGAATCGAACCCAGGGCCTCAGGCATGCAAGGCAAGCGCTCTACCACTGAGCCACCTTCCCAGCCCTTTGTGTGTGTAATATGTGTTTTTTTTTGTAACTTCTGCTGATGAAATACACCAAATTAATTAATTTCATAATTTAAAAACACACACACAGGGCTGGGCCCCTCATCTGTGATCTCATCGTGTGGGGTAGGCTGCCCCAGGGCCTGGGAAAGGCTTAGGAAGTGTGCTCTTCTAAGAAGGGGAAGGAACACTCACAGCTCGTGCATTCTCAGTCCCCCGAGCCCGGCTCTGCCAGACAGCCCAATGTGGAAGCAAGGCTCTGCCCTCCTCCCACCAAATGTCCGTTGACCCTCAGAAGGAACAGGCAGACAAGGCAGGCAGAGGAGTGGGTAAGCCCAAAGATGTTGCAGCGAGAGGCCTTCCACAAACAGCCTTCTGCAAACTCTAGCACCTGTTGGCCCTGTGAATTGTTCAAACAAGGACTGTGTTACCACAAGAGGAAATACGGTCTCATGTGTGCAAAGTACATTACTGTGGATGGAGGGATTGAGATATGCTTGCTTTGCAGAGGCTCCTGTGGCGATTTGCTTAGAGCAATTGTCACCTTTCTAGAGGTTGGACAGGAATGACCTTCAGGAGCACAGCCGTATGAATTTAAACACCCGCTTGCCAGGTTTGCATCCTTTTCTGTTGGAGTGGAAGTCATTCCAAAACTGCCAACATGGCAACTGCAGAGACGTTACACTTGTGTTCCAGGAAAGAAAAGAGGTGATGCGGCAACAGACACACACATCTTTGCCTCTCCTTGATTTCTGGCACAAGGACAATGTTAACTTCTGGACCCAACGAGACTCCTTGTTGGATGGTCTAGTTCTCTCTGAAAGCAAGTTAGTGACCAACTGTTTTCTTCCTGAAATGAACTTGGCCACTAACTTAATTCTGCTTTCCTAGATAACTTTTGTCCCTAGTGAGGTGAGAGGTGGTGTGACATTCCAGTACAGAGACCACCGCTTTCTCAAACAAGAACCGCTGGCTGTTTTACTTCTATTTTTCTTTTTATTATAAAGGTGATGTGGGAGGCATTCCTCTTTATTCATAAGCTTAGTGTGACGTTTAAAAGTCAAAATAGTTCGTGTGAGTTGTTACGTAAGGTATGACATGAACTAACAACTCAATAGTCAAGCTCTCTCTCTAAAATGATCCAGTGAGATCATTGCTTCAGTCCCGTGTGGACTCCCATTGGAGTATGAAGTTCTCATGGCAGTTCAGCCTTTACTTGTCCCCAGCCCTCCTATAGCCCAATGTCCTCACCTCTAGCTCCAATACATTATTTTCTCCTCAGTTTTGGAATGGAAAAAGAACTGAACACCAAGTAAAGGACTTGGCCGGCTCTAGTGGCCGTCATACATAGGATCATAGTAAGCTGATTTATTTGCCCTTTAAGTTTCTAATTTCAGGGGTGGAATAACCAAGTGCTGAACATCTAAACCAGGCTTGCTCAGTCCTGGACTGCCTTTTTCCTTCCCCAGCTCAGCCATACAAGGCTACAGGTCGCCACAAAGTGATCAGAGATGGTAAATGCTTACTCCTTCTCCATGGAGGACATTTCTGGATCATTGTAAAGGCAGCTAGCTCTGAACGCAAGGAGGAAACAGAAAAGAGTCAACATTTCTCCATTCTCTACATTCACACTACTGATGTAGGGGCATTTGGCACTATTTGAAAAGATCCCAAATCCACACCTGAACACATGATACTACTAAATTGTGACTCATTTTACCATGAGTTTTGAAATATAGTCAATACGTATGATGTTGAACCACAATGGGAAGATTAAAAATTCCAAAGTCTTCCAGTAATCTCTCTCCTGGTCATTTACAACTCTTTAACTCAATGAACATAATATTTTTTTTTTGTAGGTCATGGGGCTTGAACTCTGGGCCTGAGCTCTGCCCCTCAGCTCTTCAGCTCAAGGCTAGCGCTCTATCTCTCAAGCCACAGTACCACTTCTGGTTTTCTGGTAGTCAATTAGAGATAAAGAGTCTCAAAGACTTTTCTGCCTGGGCTGGCTTTGAACTGCGATCCTCAGATCTCAGCTTCCTTAGTAGCCAGGATTACAGGCATGAGCCACCTGTGCCCAGCTAATATTGCGATTTTCTATTTGTATCCAAAATAGTAACATGTTTTATCCACAAAGGAAAATCCTTTCAAGCTACCTAACCTTGTCTACATATAAACATAATTAACTTTCAGGTTTCATAAGAATGAGAATTTTCTAAGATGCAAAGAAGAAAAAAAAGAATGCTAGTATCAATTTTCTCTATTGCTTTAGAAAAATTAACAAGACACTACTCCATGAAGCCGTTCAAGTAATGCCAGTACGTCCTACCTGACACAAACCCAAAGGAAGAAAAGTGTTACCACATCAGATAACGGACTACACGTTTCTGATGGTAATTTATGCTTCTGTCTTATAGTAGTTGCTCTTGAGATGCCATTGAGGTGTCATTTCTGTTTGCAAATTTCAAGTTTTCTGTATACCATTCTTGACTAATATTTTGCACACTTTAACATTAGCCTCCCACCCTACCCATCCCCCCCCAAATATTTTTATCACTGACAGGGATTCATTCAGTGATCCTTTTTGTACTGTGAATAATTCCTCCAGCTAACTGATCCATATAGGATTTGGGTGACGAAAGCCAGGTGCTGGTGGCTCACCCCTGCAATCCTAGCTACTCAGGTGGTGAGACCTGAGAATCAAGGTTCAAAGGCAACCAAGGCAGGAAAGTCTGTGTGACTCTCGTTGCCCATTAGTTACTAGAGAACTGGAAGTGGTGCTGTGGTTCAAAGTGGTAGAGCATTGGCCTTGAGCAAAAAGAGCTCAGGGACCAGTGCCCAGACCCTGAACTCAAGCCCCACAATCGACCAAACAAAGAAGAAAGAAAAAAAGAAAAGAAATGGCAGGAGGTTACTACCCCACCCCGAACCTCTACTCCTAATGCCTTTTGCTGGTGACCTAGTGTTTATGGTAAAAATTTGGCAACTTAATGCATAAGGACAGTCAAGGAATGTTGATAGGATGCTAGAAAAACCTTGAAAAGCTGAAATGGAATCAAGGGCAATCTTCCAAGACTAGCCTTTGGCTTTTTAACTTTGAGTAATCCTTCCAAAGAAAATAGTAATTCACAAAGCATTTAATGCTGCCACTCCAAAGACATTTGCAGAACAAGAGTGGGTGTGGATTTTCTTTCCTGGTTTACATCTGAGGTTCCAAAGAAAAGACAAGTTATGTCCAATATCTGGTTTCAGTCTAGTGCCAGTCATTGTGAGTGATGGTGCGGGAATATGTGGGGAGAAGGAGAACATGTTTTAAACACTAGAAGCCAGGTACCGGTGCTCACACCTGTAATCCTAGCTACTCAAGAGGCTGAGATCTGAAGACTGCAGTTCAAAACCAGCCTGAATGGAAAAGTCTGTGTGGTTCTTATCTCCAATGAACCACCAAAAAAGCTAGAAGTCAGATGTGGGCCACGTGGAAAAGCATTAGTCTTGTAATGGAAAACCAAGGAATAGTACTGAGTTCTAGCTCCAGTAACAGCCCCAAAGAAAAAAGAAAAGAGAAGAAAAGGAAAAGCACTATGGGAACAGAGCTGCACAACGGACAAGTTTGTTCTTTGATAAAGTGGATGTCTATCTTCGGTAAGACCCAGCCTGAAGCTTTTTAATAGTCATGTAGGAAATTAGAACACATTTCATCTATCTTCAGAGGTCTGTTTTCTTGTATCAAAAACTACCCTATAGAATCTGTCCTAGCATATATGTTATAGTGGCCACATGCAAAGCTAAGTAGTTAGCAGGAGCAATGTGAAAGGTTCTGATATTTGATATTCAATGTCTTACAAAAGAAGCCCAGGGCCTTTTCCTTATATAAATTCAAATGTGAAGATAGTTTTCAATTTCACTATCAAAAGAAGGAATCAATCAGAGGAGGAGTCTTTAGGCGCTGAATCTGAAGCCTAGACCTGCTAACACAGCAGGGTACCAGTGGCTCATGCCTGTACTCCTAGCTGCCATAGAGGCTGAGATCTAAGAATTACCGTTCAAAGCCAGCTGGGGCAGAAAAGTCCATGAGACTATTATTTCTAACCACTAAAAGGTTGGAAATAATCTAAGGGACAATGCCTAGGCCCTGAGTTCAAGCCTCAGTACTGGCACAAAACAAACAAACAAACAAATAATAAAAATATAAATTGCTAAGACAAATTTGTTTCTGGTCACCCCTAGTAGAAGGGTCATAAAGGGTGACCCAGAGCTCTGGTTCAGCCTCACTAGGAACTTGTTAGAGACAGGCTGAAGCCCCTCTAAACCTATGGCATCTGTAGCTTTGCGAGTGAGGACTGAAGCATGGGTTTTAATTGTTGCCCAGCGATTCTGATGTGCAAGAGAACTCTGAGAACTGTTACTCAATAGCAACAACCCTATTCTTAGGCAGTCCTCAGTTAATGTGGCGTAAACTTACCAGGTATCACCAGGCATAAGCACTGTGTTTTGGACCTTCTAAACCACTTAGACATAGAAGTTGTGCAGGAGGGCAGGGAAGGAAATGATGGATTTGAAAGAAAGAAGAAAAAGGTACTCAAGTACATCAAAAATAGTCATTGTTTTACTCTGGTGGCTAAACCGGGTTGAGGGGTAAATATATGAGGGGGAAAAAAGCAAGATTCATGGCAATAATGAGAAGATGATGATCTGACTTGTGATAGATTTGACTGGAAAATTACATTCCTTCTTGATCTTTCATTCTGTAAAGAGCTTCCTAATCTCATAACCACATTGTTCCTGAAACAGGGAAGTCTGGAAAAAACTCAAGGACGCCTTTCTCTCTGGGCATCTCAAGGCACAAATCATTTTGCATGCAGATAAATGTTGAAGGAATTCCTCATACCCACATTTGGTTCCTTGATTCCTAATATCTTTCTTCTACCACGGCTTATTTGTTACAGTTGAGTTAGAAATTAAGAAGACTTTGTTAGGGCAAGTAAATGACATATAAAGATTATGTCTATGATTTGAGTGGGTGTCAGTTTTCTTGAAAGGAAGAAAACAAGAATATAGTAATAGGAAGCTATTCTATTCTAAAGAAACTCTTTCCTTTAACTTCTAATACAAAAGATCTACATTGCCGGGCACCAGTGGCTCACGCCTGTAATCCTAGCTACTCGGGAGGTTGGGATCTGAGGATCATGGTTCAAAGCCAGCCTGGGCAGGAAGTTCTGTGAGACTCCTATTCAATTAACCACCAGGAAGTGGCCTTGTAACTCAAGGTGGTAGAGAGCTAGCCTTGAATACGAAAGCTCAAGAACAGCGCCCCAAGTTCAAGCCCCGTGACCGGCAAAATAAAAATAAAAGTAAAAAGTTACATTATAGGCAAATAATTCCATAGGTTACCTGCAAGAAAAGAAAAAGAGGCATAGGAAAAGTTGTCTAAATAAATCATTTCAATGAACAATTGGTATCTGTAATGAATCAGGAAAGCTTCACTATTTACACTGCGTTTATTTAGAATTTGTAGCCGTTTGGACTTTGGGCATTCTGCTTTTGTAGGACTGGTTGAAATTAATAATGTAAGTGATGTCTGAAATGAGGAAGACACTGAATGTACTCAACCGTTTCCAATAATATTTGTGTACACTTAAATACAGTGTTAGCAAATGTCTCTGGACCTTAAAAAAGGCAGGAAATTAAATAACTAGGTACTCTTTCTTAGCAATTTCTAAGCTGACTTTCTCAGGATGTAGGTAAACTTGAAGATTTATGTCCGGCAGTGAGGCAAATACTTTCAATCCGGTGGAAAAGATAACCCAGTATCTCAGTTTATTGCACTACTGGACATTAGCCAGTTTTGTATCTACCACAAAAATCTTACCCAAGAATCCTCAAATAAAGATTTAAGCAATTTCGCTTTCTGTGGTTTTGACTATTAGCGGTCAGACCATGATCCAAAAATATCTTGTAGAAAATTCCAGAAATAAATAATAATTTAAAAATAACTTTTATTACAATATATTGTTATAATTACTCTGCTTTGTTATTAGTTGCTATTGTTAACGTCCTACTCTGCTTAATTTATAAACTTTATCTTGGGTATGTATATAAAAGAGAAGGCACAATATATACAGGATTTGGTACTATCTGGTTTTAGACATCTATGGAATGTCTTACAAGTCCCCTGGGAGATATATATATATAGAGAGAGAGAGAGAGAGAGAGAGAGAGAAAGAGAGAGAGACAGAGAGAGAGAGGAGAGACTGCTACAGATCTAGTTTCTCAATGCTCTTCAAATTGACTTTAGCAACTTACTGGTTTGCTCATTAAATAATTCATAGGATAACATCATTGACATGTGTTCCTTTTCGTGACTTTAGAGAACATCATACCTCAACAATGGTAAGCAATGACTATTTCTTCACTGTCAAAATAACTTGAAAATAGTTAACTTTAGCAATTATTTCCTCATCGCTTAAGGTTTAGGTTTTACATCTTGGAATGCCATAAAATTGATTCTACAAAAACCTTCCCAGGGGTTGGGAAGGTGGCTCAGTGGTAGAGTGCTTGCCTTGCATGCCTGAGGCCCTGGGTTCAATTCCTCAGCACCACATAAGCAGAAAAAAATAGCCAGAAGTGGCGCTGTGGCTCAAGTGGTAGAGCACTAGCCTTGAGCTGAAGAGCTGAGGGACAGCGCCCAGGCCGAGTTCAGGCCCATGACCGGACCCAATTTTAAAAAAAAAACAAAAACCTTCCCAAGTTGCATCCACTTGCATTTCTCCTCATAAATACAAATTAGTGATGTTCTGCTGTTACCTAGAGTAGTAGGCAGTCTCTGTATGGCAGGGTATTGGAAACATTCTTTAGTCAGGGTACCTATAACTTTGTATGTGTATACATACATACATACCTATAGATTTATAGATAGATAGATATAGATGTATATATATAATTAAATAGTGACAAATGCTTTCCTCTAGATAACAAAGATTGGGGTAGAGGAAACTGGATTAGAGTAAAATATAAGAGATTACATTTACCACAGTGGAAAAGGGATATTTTTAAGTGCAGTACAGTATGACCAAGAGACAGGAATTAAACGCCAGGCATGCAGAGTCTCCCATCCGTTCCTAACATGCAAGTCACCATCAAGCCAGCCGCTAAATGAATACCAGGTCTTACTTAGCTGCTTCAGATGCTTCCCTCAGTTCTTCATCCAGTCTGCATGAGCAAAAGCCATCGGGGTAGAAAAGAAATACAAAAGAAGCAAGCAGAGCATGAGAGAGTCACCCAGCAAAGCAGAGCCAAACGTAAGTGGCGCATATACACTTTGAAAAGCAATCTTTTGATGCACCAAGATACAGTCAACTAAATATGGTGTCATTTCCTGCCGTCAGGTGTTTATGTGTGTTTACTTTGCAAATGCCTTCACAAAGGTAGATAGAAACGTTTCAAAGGGACCAGGAACATGCTGGCTAGTAAGCTCAAAACATCCGCGTCATGTGTTGAGTACAGTTCAAGTTAGCTTGCAGCCTGGGCCAGGTGGCGGTGGGATCTGGTTTAGTAGGTTTGAGTAGCAAACCAGGTTGACCTCAACAGCTTTACACACAGGACAAAGACTGGAAATGGTATACAGAGCGCTGACACAACAATCTCTTGTTCTGGTAGCATGTTGAGGTCACCTAGGAATCAAAACACTGGAGGGCACACACGCACACATACACACACAGGGCGGTCCAGCATGATTAGGGATCAGAAGATTATCGTTATTTTTTTTTTTACCTCACATTTCTCTTAAATGATTTTTCTTCATCGTACCTTATGAGATAAAAAAAAATGGAGGCCGTGAGGAAAATGAACCATCAGATAGGGACAATGACAGATAAATGTTTTAAATGACAGTTACTCAGAGAGAAAGAGAAAGACAGTGACAGAGGCAGAGACAAAGAGTCAGAAAGACAGACACTATCCAAGTTACAATCCAATGGGCTCTGGGAGGAAGCTTCTTTTTATTAGATATACTCAATGATTCATAATTCGTAAATAGACAGTCAAACCTCATTGTCTATGGATTCCGCACTTGCACGTTTAACTCCTGATCACTATGCAGCATGTTTTTGGTCACTTGTGGTAACTAACGTGCAAGATGACTCTGAATTTGAGTTGGCTCTCTCCAGCTGAAGTTATTTAAGGAAGTTCTCTCTATCCTTTTGGTCCATGCTGAACACAAATGTCCTTTTGCAGTGACATGCTTTCATCATTTCTATGTTCTTTGTGTTGGTAATTTTGCATAGTGCTGAAATACTGCCTAATGATTTTGGTTTTTTGCCCATTCTGGGCCTTGAACTCAGGGCCTGGGCACTGTCCCTGAGCCTTTTGGTGCTCAAGGCTGGTGCGCTACCACTTGAGCCACAGCACCACTTCCAGCTTTTCTGGTGGTTAATTGGAGATAAGAGTCTCATGGACTTTGCTGCCTGGGCTGGCTTCAAACAGCAGTCCTCAGATCTCAGCCTCCTGAGTTGCTAGGATTACATTCATGAGCTACTGGCCCTAGTTTGTCTAATAGTTTTAAGAGGACGAAGTCTGTGGGTGACTTACAATGAATATGTGTGTGTATGTGTGTGTGTGTGTGAGAGAGAGAGAGAGAGAGGTAAGATTTGTTTAAATTGAGTATGATGTTGTTGACTCCAAGTTCTGTGTTTATGGAAAAAATTATTTGCTAATAGTTCTTGAAACAGAAACATGCAAAAGCAAAGTTATTTACTGAGTAGATAATAAAAGTGTTCTAGGCAGAGGCTTATGGGATCCTGATTCAGTATTTCCCCGAAGGAAATACAGTTTCTCATTCACTAATTCAGTGTTCTCAGAGAATCTGTTGGAATGGAATTGCCACAAATACTGGGAACCAACAGAATCAATTATTATAAATCTGATTCCAAAGGTCTGCATCGCAGAAGCCCTCTAATGACAGGGCTGGTAGTAACAGCCCAGCTGATTCTGGTTTTGAGAATGAGGTCAGCTTTTTTGCATATTATTCAGTAACAGAAAGTTACTGAATCAAGCTATCACTTGATCAGCTGGAAAATGGCAGAATGTGAACATTATGCAATGAGTTGCAGTCATAGAAATGGCAGAGAGGACTTCACTTGGAGATGGATGACAGAAGACACAAGAAAACAGACAGGGGAGGGAGGCACAAATCCCCTCTGAGCTACACTCCAGACAACAATCACTACAGACCAAACTCTTCCTCTGGAAGTAGCTTGTCCCCTGAGAACTGATAGGGGAATATGAATGAAAAGAAGTGGCCTGGGAGTGTTTTGGTAATTCTCCACAACAATCTAGTCACACACACACTATGGTTAGATGGTCAGCTTGGAGCAGGAAGGCTTCCTGAGTGCTTTCTGTACAGATTCTCCTTCAGTCCTCGGAGCCAACTGATTACCTCTCCGTTTTACAGGTACAGAAGCTGAGCCTCAGAGAAGATTCATCGGTTGCCTGAAATCAGAGTCAGTGAAAAGCAGGAGGGCCTGGCTCAAATCCAGTCATCAGCAAAGTCGGTTCTTTTATCACCCTGTTGTCCTGAACACAGTGTGGGAAGGTTTCTGTGTTTACCTGAGAAGTGAGAAGCGCCCTTTCTGCTGGGAGAATGTCCTTGCTGTCTTTTGCAAATTAAGAAGTGGGCGATCAGTGGCGCTTTTCTTCTTGTTGTGATTATTTTTAGTTAAAGGGCAGGAGTAGATTCAGGAGCTGGAGTCTACCTTTTCAGGGCAATCGGCCAGAGCTGTGAGGTGTGTGGTTGAGGGAACTCTAAAATGGGAGTTACTCTGAGATTTAAATGACGCAAACAGAGCTCCCATATTCCCAGCACAGCGTTTCTGTAGGCCACTCCTTTTAGTTTTAGAATGACAAGTTTTTTCAGAAGTTCGAATTGGGGAATCCATTTTATTATCTTGTAGAAGATATGAAAAACTGTGTGTGTGTGTGTGTGTGTGTGTGTGTTTCTATGAGCTGAAGTCCTTTTCAATTCTAATCAAATAGAAAACAAGTGAATCTGACCCGATGGGACAAAAAAGAGCATGATAGGAGGAAAATAAATGGTTTTTGACACCACTGTCCTAGTTAGGAACGTTCGATGTTCATTCTGCAGTGTTCCTACTTTAACCTCCCGGCTCCTGTTCTTGGAACAGAATCCAGATCTTCTGCACTCATGCTTGCTTCTCGCCCTATTCTGCTCCTAACTAGCTCGTCCACCACTGAGCAAATACCTCATAACCTTGTACCTGCAGGGAATCATGGGAGGAAAAAGCAAACAAAAGACTTAGAAGAACACAGAGACAGATTATTTTGTCAAAGTAGAGACAAAATAACTTGTCCCTATTTTCTGAGGGTCACACAGACAAATTACTTTATACAAGATAATAAAAAAAAGAGCCCTAAGTTATTTGTGTTTTGTTGCAGCATGGTTGGGGAAAGGGGTGCCAAGTTAAGAGATAGCCTGGTTCATATTGAATATATGCTTTTTTCAAAGTAGAATTAAAATTCAAGGTAACACTGAGGAAAAAAATGAATAGTTCCCAAGAGGAGATTATATGAAAAGAAAAGCTGGGGGGAAACACAAACAAACAAACAAACAGTAATCTTGAAGTTGTAAAAAAAGTTAACTATATTTATTGGATATTTGATATTTGTTTAAAAAATAAGATGCCAAATCCCCACTATTCTAGAAGTGAACTCTTTTCTATCCCTCTCCCCAATGGGTACTGTTTCTTACCAAATCTGCAAAAGCATGAGACTTACTTGACAATGCTTTCAGGGATGTGAATGCAATCCATAGGAATCAGCCCACTGAGCTCCGCCAAGCTACCGACGTATTTGATTTTACTGCTGAATTTCGAACTAAGGAAATAGGAAATTAAAAAAAAAAAGCCCATATCACTGTTTTGCCATTGCTCTTTATTTTATTTTTTAAATTGTCAGGTAAAAATTGTGTAGATTTGTAGCTAGGTGCTGGTGGCTCACGCCCATAATCCTAGCTACTCAGGGGCCTGAGATCTGAAAACAGCTGTTCAAAGCCAGCTGGGCAGGAAAAGTCCCTGAGACTCTTTATCTCCAATTAAGCACCGAAAAAGCCAGAAATGGCGCTGTGGCTCAAGTGGTAGAGCACTATCCTCGAACAAAAAAGCTCAAGTACAGTGCCCAGGCCCTGAATTCAAACCCCAGGATCAACATGCATGGGCATACACACACGCACACATGCACGCGCACACACACACAATTGCAGAAATTTGTTGTATACACTATAATGTATTGAAATATGTACAATATTGTAGAATGTCTAAATTCAACTAGTTAGCTTCTGTACACACCACCTCACATACTTTTTTGTGCTGGTACATCCAAAAATCTACTTTCTATGTGCATGTGTGTATATGTGTATGTACGTGTGTGTGTGTGTACACACACACACTCACACCAGTCCTGGGGCTTGAGTTAAGGCACTGGGAGTTATTCCTATGCTTTCCTTCTCCCCTCCCCACCCCCCTCTACCACTTAACCCACAGCTCCACTTCTGGCTTTTTGGTGGTTAACTAGAGATAAAAGCCTCATATACTTTCCTACCTGGGCTGCCTTCAAACCTTGATTCTCAGATCTCAGCCTTCTGAGTAGCTAGGATGACAGGTGTCAGCTCTTTTTAAGAATGTAATACTGTACAGCATTATTAGTTACCGCTACCATGCTGTATATTAGCTCTATGGAATTTATGCCTTGTCTTACTAAAATTTTTGAATTCTTTTGAATATTTCTCTAACACCATCCTCTGGTAATCATAACCATTTGTCTACTTTCTCCTTACGTGTTCAAGTCTTTTGCATCCCAGGTATAACCCTGCCTTGCTACCCACAGGGGACTGCTTCCAAGATCCTCACAGATGTTGAAATCCAAAGAAGCTCAAATTCTTTACATAAAATGGTTTGGTATATGCCAAGAACTTACACTTATCTTCCTAGATACTCAAAGTCATCTGTCAATTACTTTGAACACTCCATGCAATTTAAATGTCATGTAAATACTAGTATGCTATACTATTTAAGAAATAATGACAAGAGAAGTGCCCATGTATGCTCAGGATAACTTTGTTTGTTGAAACTATGGATGCAGAACTCATAGGTGCAGAGGGCTGGGTTTATAAGGAAACTCATATGACATTTGGCCCATCCATGCTTTAAGTGGTTTATATAAATTAACATATGTTTCTTATCACAGCCTAGTATTTTTTTGAAAAAAAATCCCTTTATTATTATTTCTGAACACTTTATATCTTCTTGACCACCCAGGAAACCTTGTCTGAGCCCCATAATTCTAGCTACTCAGGAGGCTGAGATCTGAGGATCAAGATTCAAAGCCAGCCCAAGCTCAGTAAAGTCTGTGAGATTCTTATCACTGGTTAACCATCAAAAAGCCAGAAATGGAGCTGTGGTTCAAGTAGCAGAGCACCAACCTTGAGCAAAAAAAGCCAACAAACAATGCCCAGGCCCTAAGTTCAGGCCTGGGTGTATGTGTGTGTGCATACGTGTGTGTGCACATACATGCACACACACACACACACACACACACACATCTGAGACCCAGAGCCTCTTGGTTAAAATGTAGAAGAGCCTTGATAAACCAACCAGATTCCAGAGTCTACACTCTGACACACCTCACACACCTTACACACTGCTGCTAACACTCTGAGTAGTCACTGGGCTTTGTGGTTCATTTGACGTTTTGCTTGTTTTGTAATTTTTTTATAAAAACAAAAATTTTATGCATCCTTCTGGAATCTACCAAAGGTGATGACATTTTAAATATATATAGATGTGTATATGTACTTATATATATAAATACACCTTCCTCTGACTGTCCTGTTTTTATTCCTTTCTTTAGTTTTTAAGCTTTTATTTATTCCAGAAAGCCCAATGTTCAGAGAACTATGTTCCAGTCATCAGACTTGAGTTCACACAGTTTGTCACCGTTTTGGATGTGTGTGGAAGCACAGATAGCCAGTCAGGTTATTGATGAAAGTGTTAAGGGCCTATTTTCCTTTTCTCTAGAGAATTGGTCATTATAGAAGGAAGAATCTGACCCTATCTGTACCGTTGATGCATTCTCTTCTTATTTGTGCAATTGAAAACCTCATTTTAGAAACACATCACTCCATGCGAAAGGGAATTTGCTTAAGGATGTCGTATTCTTGCATGATCTCAAAGTCTGCTGGGGTGAGCGGAGCTAAGTGCCTGTGTGTAATCAACTACTTGTCTTCTAATCAGAAGCTTGTTCAAGGTTTGTGTTAGCTGTATTTCTATCTTTAATACGTCACTTATGGTGTGACTGGGCTTGTGGCCTGTGAACAAACTTCCTGTCCATAGGTCACTCCTATCCTGGCTGGGAGTCTGGCCTGTAAGTTTAGAGTCAATATACATTATTAATGTCCTTTCTTCTTAAGGGTTTTTTTAACTTCACCTCATGTTTGGAAAAAGGAGTGAATGAACCAGTGAGAGGGAAGAAGTGGCACAAAGAAACACCCCTTTGTTCATTTACTAGCACCTCTGTGTGTGCGTGCGCACATGCCAATCCTGGGGCTTGAACTCAGAGCTCGGGCACTGTTCCTGGGCTTCTTTTTGCTTCTGATTAGCACTGTCATCACTTGAGTCACAGTGCCACTTCTGGCTTTTTCTGAGTAGTTTATTGAGTTTATTGGAGATAAGAGTCTCAGTGCAATACTGAATTTATTGGAGATAAGTCTTTCCTGTCTGAGCTATCTTTGAACTGCAATCCTCAGATCTTTGCTTCCTGGCAGTGCCTGGCCTCTGAGAACATATCATCTAAGATAAAGTCTAAAATGTTTACTTTTGTTCCTATATAGGTGTTAGTTGCTGGCTTTTGCTACAGGTGATTTACTTTTTTTTTTTTTTGCAGTACTGGAAATAGAATCCAGGGCTTTGCATATGCCAGGCAAGCCCTATATTTCTAATATTCTCACAGTTATGACTATTCTGTTATTTCTAAAAAAATCTTTTATCAAAGCCTCTGCCTCACTGATCATTTAAAATATTTATTGTAATGGAAAAAAAGTTCTATGAAAGCTTGACTATATTAACCATCAACAAATCAACAAGAGTTAATATTTAACATTAACTTTAAGCTTTTTAAAATAATCTTATCAGTGTAATTGATTCCTACCCGCTTGTAAAAGTGCTTCTGCAATTATCAAAATAAGTGGCGCCTGTTTTTCACCTGCCACAATCATAATATTTTTAAAAAGCAAGTTAACATATTTTGGCAAATAATTTTTGTCAGAGGAAAAAAATTGGTTTGAATCTTGTTACTTTATCATTGGAAATAGGGAATGAAAATCCTAGATATACAGAACTGAACACTGAATAAAACAGGTAGAATCTGGAAGGTACATTAAAATCTATGTGAAGAGAGAGAAAAGACTTGTAAATTTAATTTTTTTCCAAAAGTTATCAGAATTTTCCTGAGGAAGTCATTAATATATTTGTTACAGTTTAAACTTACCTAGCTTGATGGAACACCGACTTTTTCCTATTTTAAACCTCTCTAGAAAACTTAATTTTTTTAAACTATTTTAAGTTACTATATTATGAGCCATTTCTCCTTTTTTTAAGTTTCTAAAGCTTCTAAAATAGGTTTGTACAGTGCTTAACTCAAAAGAAATGGTGGATAGATAGTCAGGGGACTGCAACCGAGAGTCTTCATGTTTGATCAAAATCTAATTCTTCAGCTGTACACCAGCTGTACGCCTATAATCCTAGCTACTCAGAAGGCTGAGATCTGGAGATCAAGATTTGAAGCCAGCCTAGGCAGGAACACCTATGAGACTCATCTCCAATTAATCACAAAAAGCTGGAAGTGAAGCTGTGGCTCAAGTGGTAGAGCACTAGCCTTGAGCACAAAAGCTCAGGGAGAATGCCCAGGCCCTAAGTTCAAGCACCAGGACCAGCACAAAAAGCAAACTATATCTATCTATCTATCTATCTATCTATCTATCTATCTATCTATCTATCTATCTATTTATCTGCACATATATTTTTTTCTCAAAGTGGTTACTCAGAGTCTATAACCCAAGCCTTGAATCACTATCCTCAGAGCTCAGCCTCCTGAGCAGCTAAGTGCTAGCCACCTGGCCCCTCCTCATCTCTATTAAAAACAATTTTAAAAGCCTTCGCTATTCTATTTTCATTCATACATATGAATTACTTCCACGGTGTCCCATTCCAAATAGCCCCTCAACCCATGCTACACTCATGTTCTTTTTCTTTGCTTAGTTTTTATTTTCCAGTCTAATTACTCCGTATTTTATTTCTGCAAAATAAGGAAATCACTTTAAAAACTATTGGCTAGCCAGGTGCTGGTGGTTTGCACCTGTAAGCCTAGCTACTCAGGAGGCTGAGATCTGAGGATCACAGTTTGAAGCCAGTCCCAGCAGGGAAGTCCATGAGACTATGATCTCCAGTTATCCATCAGAAACCCGGAAGTGGTGTTGTGCCTCAAGGTGGTAGAGTGCTAGCTTTGAGTGAAAATGCTCAGGGACAGTGCCCAGGCCCTGAGTTCAAGTTCCATCACACAGACACACACAGACACAGACACACATACACACACACACAGAGAAAAGCTACTACTGTTCTTTCTTTGTGGCCTAGGCATCTTACCACTCCATATTCTGTGTTAATGGGAAGTGATTTAGAAGACTCACTTTCTAATTATTTTGAAATAATTCTCATACTTAATTTAGGAGCTTGAAAATGCTTTTTGGAGACCAGGCCATGCTGTGCAGTCTAGCCCCAATCTTCTGAGTGCCGGGATTACAGCCTGTGATGCCACACCTGGCTAGTAAGGGTTTCTTTTTCTCCCTCTTCTTCATCTTCCTCCTTTTATATCTTTGCTTTCCCCCCTCCTTTTTGCCATTACTGGAGTTTGAACTCAGGGACTCATGCTTGCTTGTTCAACGACTCTCTATCATTTGAGGTATACCAATCCAGATTTTTGCTGGTCACTTTTGTAAATAGAGTTTTGTGAACTTAACTACCTGGCCTGCCTTTAAACCATGAAACTGGATCTCAGCCTCCTGAGCAGGATTAGAGGGATGGGCCGCTGGAACTTGTAGTGGAGATTCTTGATGACACAGTCCAAAGTATCTTCCAACAAAGACAGAGGCAAAATAAACTTTTCTAGGTGATCTTAACTTAGAAGTTCTGGCTTATAAGACAATTGGTAAATTTGTGTCTTTGCAAAACCTGCTCTCATACTTTTACTTTTGCCACACTAAGAACTGTACCTGATAAAAGGCCGTGTGACAGCCAGGATCGTTCTGATAAACCAGGAAGGATGGACAATGATGAATGACTTCAGATTCTTGCGCAACCTATTTTGAAACGAGAAACATGATAGATACATCAACTCATTTTTCGGTGGGAATGAAAATACATCCCTAAAAAAGCATGCATATAGTTTGGGAAATTTCTAGGAAAGCTACTGTTTTCTGATGGGAAAGTCCAGAATGGCTACAAATGAGTTTTAAAAGTTACTTTGCAAGACACAATTTGAAACCTGGGTGATTCAAATCTCATTTTACCATAGGAATAAATATTTGCATATTTAATAATATAATTAAATGATTATATGTGGGACTCAATAAATATGAGAGCATATTACAATATTATATATAGTATTTATTAACAATATAAATATAAGGGAGTATTTAATAAATATAAGAGCAATACTTTTGGAGCGTATAAATTTATAACCATATTTTTACTTATGGATGCTTATCATTTTTTTGTCAGTCTTATCTTTCCTATTTTGAAAATGGTATATTCTTAGTAGCAATTTAGACAACTTATTTGATCATACTAAGCCTTGATTTCTCCTTCTGTATAAAGAAAATTTACCATTTTAGAGACTGTTGATTTTTCAGGCATATTTCCGGCTTTAGCAATGTGATTTTATTAAAGTTTGGATCATAAAACAGATTCTTGGACAGAGGGTCAACTCAGGGCCAATGTATATGGGGAAGTACTCTACCTCTTGATCTACACCCCCAGCTGTTTTCACATTGGTTTGTTTTTCACAGAGGATCTTACACTTTTGTCTAGACTAGCCTTGGACCTTGATGCTTCTACCTCTTTCTTCCCTGTAGCTGGAATTAGAGGTGTGTACCACCACATGTAGTTCATAGAATAGACTAGTTAAATATAACAGGGCACTTTTATTTTATTATACCAGTTTGCCTGTGTATGGCAATAAGTGCTTTGTTCTAATAAAATCAGTGTGAGCAGAGGTGTACAGTATCTTGAGCTAGTGATCACTTTGCATTGATGGGAAATGTGGAAATAAGAACACAAGTGTTGGGCCAATTTCCACTGTCCCCATACGCAAAAAATAACACCTAGGTCACATGATTCCATTAAAAAATCTGGGTATTTGGGTTTTTCCACTCAAGTTGCATCCACTCAAGTGGTCACAGCGTGTGCACAGTTTAGAAGGAATTACTCTGCCAGATTTGAAGAGATATTCAACAAAATGTGGGCAGGATCTGCCTTATTTCAACTTTGGAGCATCAAGTGACTGTGTGTGTGTGTGTGTGTGTGTGTGTGTGTGTGTGTGTGTGTGTACATACATATACCAGTACTGGACTTGAACTCAGGGACACAGGCTCTTGTACGCAAAGCTAGTGCTCTACCACTTGAGCCACACCTCATATAGCCACACCACTTATAGCTGTATGCTGGTTAACTGGAGGTAAAAGTCTGTAAGATTTGTCTACTCCAGCAAGCTTCATACTCAGATCCTTAGATTTCAGCCTTCTCAGATGCTAGGAACTTCTTACTATTTGTAGAACTTATTATTTCAAATATGCATTATTCAATGTCCTCAAACTATAGTTGCATTTTTGGTGGATTAAAAGGGTGAAACGTGGAGGGAGATACCGAAGGATCTAAAAGAGTGATCAAACAAAGGCGTTCACATACCTCCTGTCAATCATCTGGTAGCATTTCTTCATCCAGCCCAGCCCTGGCATCTTCCGTCTAGGGGTGGCACCATTCAAGTACACGATCATGTAGTCCTCAGCCACCATCAGCTCTAAAGTGCTTATCACATATCTACTCACAGAAAGGAAGAAAGCACTTTCAATTCTCACAGGAAAGCTTTCATCTTACTTAGCATCCTACGTAGCATTTAAAGTACAGGGTGAATGATGTTTCATACATAGTTGTGCATATCATCTTTCTACCTCAAGAATAAAGTTGTTATCTGAGATCATTGCTCAGAGAGTGAATATATATTGTTCATTTATTTGTATAATTATCTGAAGATTGTGTGTAGTGCTCTACCACTTGAGTCATAACCCCACTTCTGGCTTTTTGGTGGCTAATTGGAGATAAGAGTCTCACAGACGTTTCTGTCTGGGCTGGCTTTGAACCTCAATCCTCAGATCTTAGCCTTCTGAGTAGCTAGGTTTACAGGTGTGAGCCACTGGAACCCAGCTTATCTGAGTTTTTAAAACGCATTTACTTAGAAGAATATGTAGGCTAAAACCTGACTCTTAAAAACGCCAACAATGGCATCAAACATTAAGAGTAACTTACACTGGGTAGATGCCAGAGAGATCAATTATCGCAGCCCACAGAGAACATGCTATCAGGGAATAAAAACAGTACTCTGCCTAAAGGAAATGTTATCAAAGTTTTCAATGGAGGCCAAGTTTTGCTCATTTCATTTTTCCATCGATTCTACCAACAGGGTTCCTTTGAAAGTTTTAGCTTTTTGAGCAATGCCCCATGACAGAAAGCTATTGACTCTTTATCCAAAATGTAGACTATCCTCCCTCCATCTATTTCCCACAGACATTAATTCAGAGCACTTTGTCGTAAGTGTCACTCACAGGAAAAGGTTTTCCATGACATAGTGGTAATCTGCCCGACTGCTGTCTGGTAGAAAACAGGCGGCAAACACAATGATCGCATTTAGACCATCCCCATAGTATCCTGGGGACAAACAGAAAGACATTTGAACCAACTGAGAGCTTGTCACAGGAGAATAGCAAACATAAAAGATAAGTCAGAAGCCTTGGCAAGGGTGTGTGTTAGACATGAGACACATCATAAAATGGACATAGTCTATTGATTGCAGGTCTCTTCACAATTAATATGTTCCACAGTCTGACTTATTCAGATGAGGTACTTGTGTATACAGGATATATTCATATATATACACATATATCACACACATATATAATATGCATATATAGGATGATTCATGTCCTGTACATAGATGTGAATGTCATGTGTTAACATCCAATTTATCAAAGAAGGCAATACTGTGTGGGTGCATACTTGCTCTACCACTGAGCCACTCCTAGCTCAAAATGACATTTTAGAACTAGGAGTCTGTCATATTGCTAGTGTGTGTGTGTATGTGTGTGTGTGTGTGTGCGTGCGTGCGCGCGCACCAGTCTTGCGGCTTGAACTCAGGTCCTGGCACTGTCCTTGCCTTTTTATTCAAGACTAGTGCTCTACCACTTGAGCCACAGCTCCCTTTCCATCTTCTTGGTAGTTTAGTGGAGATAAGAGTCTGACAAACTTTCCTGCCTGGGCTGGCATCAAACAATGATCCTCAGACCTCAGCCTCCTGAGTATTACAGATGTGAGCCACTGGTGCTTGATGCTAATTCATTTATTTTTTTTTTAATGAATACTTCATTACTCTGATGGCTAAGAGGTTTTATTTCATCCTCTTAGCTCTTTTTTTTTTAAGTTTTAAACACTAGTTAATTGGGGCAATTTGGTCACTGAGTTGTGATATAATCACTGACTACACACCCCAGCGACCCCATGCCAGTGTAAAACCCCTTTGTTTTGATTTCAAGGTCTAGCCACTTGCATGTGTGTCCCTGGGCTCTCTAGCTCTCTACATCTCACCAACAGTGCAAAAAATACAGAGATAAAGTTTAGGTAGGCCCAGAACAACTGAGCAAAGAATTCATAGCCTGGACTCGTTGAGAGAGAAGAAAGAGTTATATTCAACAAGGCACCAGCTAAATTCTCTTTGGTATGAAAACATGTACCTTGGGAGGGGAAAAAAAAAAAACTCTTAGGAGTTTTACTTCCTAGTAAGAAGTGCAAGTGGTGTTAAGAAAACAGGAGCTGGGCCATGTGTGGCCATCAAAACTCCAAGACGTGAGGACTCCCAGAGCTAGGTCAACCATGACTCCATCTTTGGAAGACTCTGACATGATTTCAGCCTTGTTCCATCTTCAAGCAAACTCCACTCCATTAGCGATCATCTTTAAACTACATGGTAGGTGTTTATCAAATCTCACAGGTAGATGTATGTAATAAGATGTATCTTTGATGCTTAAGAAGGGAAGCAATCATTCATACTGTCATTTTGGGGGAAGTACTTGTGATTGAACCTGGGTCTGGAACAAGTATAGCATGTTTGACTACTGAGGTATGTATGCCTCCAGCCCCTATTATTTAAAAAAATTTTTTTTTTCATTTTGCCTGGTTCTGATGGCTCACGCCTGCAATCCTAGCTAGTCAGGGGACTGAGATCTGAAGATTATGGTTCAAAGCCAGCCTGGGCAGAAAAGTCCATGAGACTCTTATTTCCAATTAACCACCAAAAAGCAGGCAATAGAGCTGTGGCTCAAAGTGATAGAGTGCTAGCCATGAACACAAAAGCTCAGGGATAGTTCCCAGGACCTGAATTCAAATCTGTACAAAACAATAAAATGTTCTCGTTTAAGAAGCTGCAATTTGTATTCTATTTGAGACTTCAGGATCATTAATCTGAACCATTAATCAGGAGTTCTGAGCCTTCCCAGATCTCAACATATTTTCTGGTTTCAGAACTGCTACTCCCTCTGCTGACTGCAGGGCAGAATAATGCTGAACGTGCATAGGTTTGGCTGAAGTTAACTGCTTGAAATGCAGAGTTTTTTGTAGGGCTTTTGTTTTTGGTCAGTTGTGGGGCTTGAACTCAGGTCCTAAGTGCTGTTCCAGAGCTCTTTCACTCGAAGCTAGTGCTCTACCACTTTGAGCCACAGCTCCACTCCCTGAAAAGCAATTTAATAAGACGTTTTCTACAAAGACAAGAGTATACAATCACCACAAAAAAGGCAGGGGAAGAGGGAAGCCAACTGAAAATAACTAAAACTGTGAATCTATAAGTACTGCTAATTTGAGGTGTCTCTATTCAGTGTTTATACCAGGCAGTTTAGGAGATGCCACCCACGTCAGCACACACACATAGCACACTTGTGAGAGAACACTGAAGAACCTTCTCTGCCTTTATTTTATTTTACTTTACCTATTTTTTACAATAGGTGCTAATTAGCACACACAGGTGCTAATACTGGGGCTTGAACTCAAGGCCTGGGCGCTCTCTGAGCTTTTGTGCTCAAGGCTGGTGCTCTACCACTTGAGCCATAGGTTCATTTCTTTTGGTTGGTTAATTGGAGAGAAGAGTCTCATACACTTTTCTGCCTGGGTTGGCTTTGAACCACAATCTTTAGATCTCAGCCTTTTACGTGGCTAGGATTACAGGCTCCTGGCTATAAATATTTTGCCATTAAAAAAAAAATTGTGTTCCACTCACCAACTTCTTTTCTGAGAATTCACAACTTAGTGGAAATCAACAAAGCACAGGAGATTTAGCTAACACCATAATGAGATGCAATTCACTGAGCCCAATGAGAAGAAAAACATTCATTAAAAGACAAAGTACAGGCTGGGAAGGTGGCTCAGTGGTAGAGTGCTTGCCTTGCATGCATGAGGCCCTGGGTTTGATTCCTCAGCACCACATAAGCAGAAAAAAGCCAGAAGTGATACTGTGGCTCAAGTGGTAGAGCGCTAGCCTTGAGCTGAAGAGCTGAGGGACAGTGCCCAGGCCCAGAGTTCAAGGCCCATGACTGGCAAAAAAAAAAGACAACGTACATATCATGAATCTAGTCTCATAAACCAGCAAAACGATGTCTTTCTCAATGGAGCTGACTGCCACAAGGTGTCAGAAAAATTTCAACCTCAAGACCACTCTTTGACTTCAGGTCCTTGACTTCAGGGTTTTGTGTGTGCATGTGTGTTTGCTTTGTTCCCCTTTCTGAAGAATTCTTAAGAATTTTTTTACAGGAACTTTATAAGCAGTACTTCTGAGGTCATCTTAAATGTCATGTAATTATTGTGCATGCTTTAGAACAGCAATATTGCATTCTCCAGAGTTCATGTCAGTAAAGGAATACTTGGGATGAAATAAAGACTTCATGGACACTGTCCAAGCAAGCAATGTCTTCTTCATATAAAAACTGCTGAGATTTACAAATGAAAATGGCTCTTGGTACTTTTGGGAAGACATACTTTAAGAAGAAAAGAAGCTGAGGGGAATAGAAAGAAGAGGAGAAAGAAAACAGAAGAAAAAAAAAAAGGGATTGCCACATAATTTTTTTCCCCCTCCTAAACCAACAATCCACAATACTGCTGTCACTGTGGAGACAGTTAACAAGTGCTGGTCCTGAGCAATAACTGGAATGAAGAGGACTTTTTGCTTTTTTGCTCCAAGTCCTTTCTACAGTCAGTGAACCCCTCAATTTCTACCCTAAAGTATGCAGCTTATTCAGCTCAAGTTCCAGGCTGGCAATAGCATAATGTGCATAGAGTTTGGTTTTTCCAAGATTTCTTTTGTCGGCCTCTCTGTTCTTAATAAGCAGGAAGTGTACAGGAGGGAGTGTGTAAGCGTGCTGGGTTTAAAATCATGACCAGCCTTACCTGAGGCAGCACAGAAAGCCATGGAAAGGAATGAAACACAAGTTTGCTGGCCAGCAAATGGAATGGACAAATGCCACAGTCGCAACCAAACACACACACACACCCCAGTCAGCAACTCTTCTCCTCATTCTTTCCAGGATCATTTGTCCAGCAACACTGCAGAGATTACCTGAGTCTCCTAGAATAAAACAAGTAAAAGAAAAGAAAAGAAAAGAAAGGAAACTCCTTGTTAACATTCCTTGGCATGATTTCCCTGGGTGTTTCAACTATGCTCTTTTTCAAGGTCTAAAAAGCCAATTCTGGCCTCAACTTCACCCCATGCCATCATTGTTGGCTGGGCAAAACCAACTACAGTTCTTTTTCCTTTTTTTGTTTTTGTTTTATAAGCAGATGGCAGAGACTTGGCTCACGGGTGGCAGGATGTAAACAGGGATGTTTACAATGGTTTCATTTGACTGATAAAGTCATGGAGACTGAGAAACGGTAAATGATGTACCAAGGTCAGAGACTAGGAAGTGGCCTTAAACCTACGAGTCTACATTGTGGACAGGGTCTCTGGCACAGTTCAGGTTGAGGTCACAAAGCTGAAGATTGAATGATACGTTCCAACACAGCTGTGAAACAGCATCTGACTCGGGAGCTGACTTCACTCCTAGCTCACACTTTACTGCCCAGAACCTGTCCAGCTGGCACTGCCCATTGGGCCTGATGGGATACACATCCTCAGAGCAAAAGAGAAAGCACCAGATAAGACTCATCTTTATGTGCAATCGGCATTGTTTCTTTTTTGGTGCCAGTCCTGGGGCATGAACTCAAGGCCTGGGCACTGTCCCTAACGGCCTACCCTTGAGCCGCAGCTCCACTTCTGGCTCTTTTTATTTATTTATTTTTGGAGTAGTTTATTGGAGATTATCTAGGTTTTCCTTGCCTGGGCTGGCTTCAAACATGATCCTCAGATCTCAGCTTCCTGCAGTAGCTAGAGCTACAGCTTGGAGCCTGCTTTCTTTAAATGCTTCTCAGAAGCCACTCTGACAAACCCAATAGATTGGCAACTAAAAGCCCAAGAAAGTGGTACTGTGTAAGGTTCCCATGATGCAACAGGGCTTTGGCAAATTCAGAAGTAACATCGGAGCGATTTTTACCTACAGAGCATGAAAGCTGTCCAGCGTGTGTACGTAGGAAGAGCTGGCATCCTGCTAACGGCCCGAGCGGGGCAGCCAGAGGCGCATTCATGCAGCCCGGTGCCTGGAGAGAGTGAGGCAGCGCCAGGGAGGGGAGAGACAATCACACAGACAAAAGCCAAGCTCCAGACACACAACGGGGAGGACAAAGCCAGGGGAGGGAAGGCAGGGACGGGTGTTCCACCAACCGGGTTATTCTGAGCCTCAACTGGATGTTATTGAAACGGACAGGCGAAAGACTGGCTTTCTCTGACCACCACCAGTGCCCTGAAGATGATCCTTCCATCCTGGTTCGCTCCCTCTACCCAGCCCCCGGGACTTCACTGCACTTGAGAAAACTAGGAGGAAACTCTTCTGATAATAGCACGGCAGCTGTGGTCTCGCCATCTTAACAAGAGGACTGCTAAGCACTGGAGAACCACACAAAAATGTGTGTGACTGGGTAACTTGGATTTATTTTAACAGACATTTCTGCATTTTCTAGATATTTTAGAGTAAATCTAGGCTACTTTTGATCAGCCTTTCTTTTATATGTTATTTCCCCAAAGCAAGCAATCTAAAAATACCCAATGGGTGGTACAAGGAAGACTTTGGAGAGGGATCCGTTAGGTTGTGGTTGGATCGTGGTTTTTGTCTTAACAAAAGGGTTGACTCTGGGGCTGGGAAGGTGGTTCAGTGGTAGGGTGCTTGCCTTGAGCTGAAGAGCTGAGGGACAGTGCCCAGGCCCAGAGTTCAGGCCCCATAACCGACCAAAAAAAAAAAAAAAGGAGGGTTGATTCTGTGATCAGTCATCTATCCCTCTCAGCAAGATTCAGCCTCTCTCAAGAGGAACTGGAAAGCTAGAGCTACATGGCCATTTCAGGTTGCATAGTGAAAGGTCACAGAGAAAGGTCATAGACCAAGGGCTCCCGTTGGCCTCGTCCATCACTGTCGTGGTCAGCTTCCCCGGGTGATTCCACGCCCCACATGGGAGGTGACAATCCATGGGGTAGCAGTGAAGGATCTCTGACTAGACGGATGTTTGACTGTGGTAACAACAAAACACGTGCTACTAGTTTAATGCAGTGCTAGGGCTCTTTATTTCCCTCCCTGTCCTTATTAAGGAAGAGAGGAAGTTGAAAGCAGGAGTTGCCTTGTCAGCGTGTACTTTTTCTGGGACAGCTGGGTGTTTAAAGAGGTGCCCAAAGCCTGCAGGAAAGAGATGCATGCAGCAGAAAAATCAACATGCCACTGATGCTTTCTGAAGAGGGCAACGTTCAGCGTGCTGCTTGTGTTCATTCCACTTTCTGTGAGTCCCCAGTTAATCAGGGCCACATATGTGTCTGGAGTCCCCAAGAAAGCACTGGAAATACAAAGGAGACCATTCCCTGTCCACCTCCTTCACACAGCAGATGGATGCTCGGATTCTGGATTGGATGGGAAGTTCTTAGGCATAGATACAAAGCAGCTTGCAGGAAAGCCAATTTTATGTAGGGAAAAGGATGGCCAAATTGAGTCAACAAAGCAATCCTAAGGCTTCTGAAGAGGATTCAAAAGTCATTTTGTGATTAGGAGCTTTCTGGAGGAGGGGATCTTAGTACAGCGAGGTATTATGTACTCTTATCAACTATCCAGTTCAAGCCCCCAGCCCATTGATAGGAATTCCAGATGGACAATATTACCCGGGACAACTACAGCTTCTGAGACATTTACCCAGAAAACTGTAGCTGTCAGATATGGGCTGTGAAAAGCATTTTTCTTTTTAAACATGGGGAAGTTGTTTTTTTTTTTTTTTTCACCTACATAGGTTTTCAAATTTCTCAAGGAGGATGAAGTCACATACTAAACTCTCTATTGACATACACTGCAACATAAGGTCTTTGGGCTATTGTATTGAACCTAGTTGAGGTTTCCAATTGAAGAATATGGTGCCTCCCTGCCTCCCTCCCTGCCTCCCTCCCTCCCTCCCTCCCTCCCTATTTTCTGGATCCACCAAGAGCCTTAGTACCTCCATGAGAAATGACTCTCCTGTAGGGCTCAATAACCTTCATGTCGATTCGCTGTTCTTGCTCTCCAATTACCACTGTCCTCCACAGCCGGTTGTCTTCCCGCTCCTCTTCAGCTGTATACTCTGGAATAGACTCTGACTCTTGGCCAGAGTCTTTGTTGGCCATGGGATCTTCTGGAAATGAAACATAAGTGACTGAAGGAGCAAGACCTCCATAACCGAGCAACTAAACAACTCAATCTCAAGTTACCTCCAGAACCAACCAAATGGAGCTTCTTCCTATGTGTGAATTCTGTTCATTTGTTTATTTGTTTGCTTGCTTGTTTGTTTGCCAGTCCTGGGGCTCGAACTCTAGCCCTGGGTACTGTCCCTGAGTTTTTGAACTCAGGGTAGAGCTCTACCACTTGAGCCACAGTTCAACTTCCAGCTCTTCATAATTAATTGGAGGTAAGAATCTCACAGACTTTCCTGCCTTGGCTGGCTTCGAACCATGATCCTTAGATCTCAGCCTCCTGAGTAGCTAGGTGTGAGCCATCAGTATCCAGGCTGTATATGACTTTTATAGAATTCAATGGCATCCTGGCAACATATGGTCCACTCTATGAAGTCTTAGTTATTGATGGCTTGAACAGCCGAATCTATTCCTGGGGCCACGCTGGGGTGGGATAGTAAGGCTGCAGATCTTTTATGTCAGCTGTGGTGCCCTAGGGGAGAAGATGCTGCCAACTAGTCCTCCATCAGGCAGGTGAAAAACTGCAGGTCTTTTCTGTTGTTGTTGTTGTTCCAAAACTGGGATTCTCAAACTTAGTATGTGACACTTTTGCTCACTGGCTGGTGCTCTACCTCCTAAGCCATGCCTCCAGCCCCTGAATGTCTTTATGATGGAGTGGAAGGCTATTTATCAAAGTCCAGATAATCTTGGTTGTGTTGAACTTCATCTGATTGCTCAGAGTGTTTGGGACCTTGAGCCTAATGTCTTGATGCTACCAACTTCTGCTGCAGGATTCTCACACCACCACTGAACTTTGTATGTTTGGACAAGAATCTGATATATATACTTCCCATGCATTATTTGCCAAAACATACAACAGAAAGTATTTGTGCAGTAAATGTGGACCAGAAATCTTTCAACGTTTTTAAAGTTGTGTGTGCATCAAGATAGAATAAAGCCCACTGAACATTCTTTGGGAAGAAAATTTCTCTTGGACATCCAAAAATAGTAATCATGGGATTTTTTTTTGTTCTTTTGTTTTTGCAAAAATAAGTAGTACTTGTTTGTATCTTTACCAGGAAAGCTTGGTAAATGTTCAAGTAAATTGAAGGGAAATGTTATTTATAACCTCCACAATAATTCTGAGATATTACCACTCTTGTTTTTCCATTTGTACAAAGAAGACCTATGGGGAAAAAAAGAAAAAGAAGACCTATGCACCAAACTTTACTAGCACTTCTCTTATGGCACTATGATAAAAATCATCACAATACTTTTAAAATTATCTACCACCTACTGTTCCAGGTACAGTAATAGCCAGTAAAAGGAACATTAGATAAAAACTGACTCCAATGCTGGGGCTTGAAATCAGGGCTTCCAGCTCTTGCTTATCATTTTCACTCACAGGTGGACCTCTATCACTTGAACTGCACCTCTACTTCTGTTTATTTTCACCTTTATAATCTATCCCTATAGAGATAGATACAGATATAGATATAGATATAGTTTTTGGTGGATATGGACTTGAACTCAGCCTGGGCACTGTCTTCTGAACTCTTTTTGCTTAAGGCTAGTGGTCCACTGCTTTGAGCCACAGCTCTACTTCCTACTTCTAGCTTTTTGCTGGCTAATTGGAGACAGAGTCTTACAGATTTGTCTGCCTGGGCTGACTTTGTATCTTGATCCTTAGATCTCAGCCTCCTGAGTAGCTAGACTTATAAGCAAGAGCCACTGGTGCCTGGCTCATTCTTATATATTTTATGAAGAGCTGAGTCCCTTGGATCAAGGAACTGTGCCCAAGGTGCCTTTAATATTTGCCTCTACCAACACACCCCACGCTGAGCTTGGAAGCCTACTCATAAAATTCAAAGCACTGGAAAGTGTGGACAAGCTTCTGGAAAGGTAGCTAATCTGTGAGTCATGGCATAGTGAAGACATTCCAGAAGATTCTGCAGTTATTAAGGATTCTTGAGTACCTAATTTCCTAAGACAGAATAGGAAAATGAGGCTCCACTGGGAAGCAATCCTAGCCTATCTTGCCAATACCAACAGTTACCAGCCACCTACAGCGCCTGGCCCAGGTGGATTCCCTGTCTTCTCAGCAGTTCTTGGAAGCTTATTAAGGACAGACTCAGCAACTCTGGCTTGTAAGCCAAGCACTCTGTCACATGCACAATCTATCCATGTGTCTTGAACACTTTCCCGCTTCTTCTTTTCTACTGGGGTTAGGAACCCTAGATGCTAATAAGACCTTCACAAGGAACCCATTTCTCATGTCCCTGTTCCCTAGAACAAGCTCTAGTGCTTGTCTTCTGGCATTCATGTACACACACATCCTTGCCTGCAGTAAACCAAACCCTCTGTACCATCTTTGTCGCTCTCTGGTCTGTTCTCTTTGGACTCTGGTGATATCTGTGGGGTGAGAGTCAGTTCTGTTTTATTTTTCCCTGCATGCTTTGTTTTTTTTGTTTGGTCAGTGTGGGGCTTGAACTCTGGGCCTGGGCGCTGTTCCTCAGCTCTTCAGCTCAAGGCTAGTGCTCTACCACTTTGTGCCACAGCACCACTTCAGGTTTTCTGATAGCTAGCTAGAGATAAGAGTCTCATGGATTTGCCTGCCTGGGCTGGCTTTGAACTGTGATCCTCAGATCTCAGCCTCCTGAGTAGCTAGGATTACAGGTGTGAGCCACCAGTGCCCAGCCCCTGCATGCTTTTATTGAAACTTCACTAATTTTTTTTCCCCCTAGAGCCAAGCGCCAGTGGCTCATGCCTGTAATCTTAGCTATTCCCGAAGCTGAGATTTGAGAATCATGGTTTGAAGCCAGCCAGGGAAGGAAAGTCTGGGAGATTCTAATCTCCAATTTATCACCAAAAATTAAAATAAAAACAAAAACAGAAGTGGAGCTGTGGTTCAATGTGGTAGAGAGAAGGCTCAGGGCCTTTTGAGTTCCAGCCCCAGGATCTGCATGCATACACACACACACACACACACACACACACACACACACACACACACACACATATCTCTATATGACATTTTTACAATTCTGGTTGTAAAAGTAAAATGTATATCACACAAAAATAGTCAGTGGATCTTTTGTGTTTTTGTGCTGGTACTGGGCTTGAACTCAGGTCTTCTCATTCTTGCTTAGCTTTTCCATTCAAGACTTGTGTTCTACTATTTGAGCCACAGCTCTACTTCAGTCTTTTTGATGGTTAATTGGTGATAAGAGGCTCAGGGACTTACCTGTCTGGGCTGGCTTTAATCCACAATCCTCAGATCTTAGCCTCATGAGCCGCCAGTGCTTGGCTTAGTCAGCTGATCTTTAACAAATGATCCAAGGTGGAACAATGGAACCAAGAGTCTTTTCAACAAATGGTACTCACTTCTTTATATCTCAGAAACTCTGCTCCTTTTAAAAAGTAGTCCTCAGAGCTGGGTGCTGGTGGCTCATGCCTGTAATGGTGCCCAGGAGACTAAGATTTGAGGACATGCTTCAAAGCCAGTCCAGGCAGGAAAATCCAATAATACTCTCACCTCCAATTTACCAGCAAAAAGCTGGAAGTGGAGCTATGGCTCAAGTAGTAAAGTACTAACCTTTAGCAAAAAACAAACAAATAAAACCTAAAGGACAGTGTCTAGGCCCTGAGTTTAAACCTCAGTACTGGTAGTACTGGTACGTAGACACACACACACACACACACACACACACACACACACACGTAGCCCCCAAGGATTTCATTTTGGTGGTAATGGTACGTAGACACACACACACACAACACACACACACACACACATAGCCCCCAAGGATTTCATTTTGGTGGTAATGGTACACACACACACACACACACACACGCACACACACACACGTAGCCCCCAAGGATTTCATTTTGGTGGTACTGGTACATAGACACACACACACACACACACACACATACACACAACACACACACACGTAGCCCCCAAGGATTTCATTTTGGTGGTACTTCCAGTTTATCAGCCTCATTTATTTATTATTTTGAATTAAGCTCTTGCTAAGTAGACCAGAATGACCTTGAACTCAGGTGTTATTCCTAATGTTCCCAAATGTGGGAGTTAGCAAGTTGCTCTTTCTCCTTCTTTCCCTTCTGACACATGTAAATTGGGGAAAAAGAGTTATTCAAGAGTAAGGGATCGTACTGCAGATGTGGCTGAGTGGAGAGAGCTTGCCTAGTATTACTAGCCAATGTCCTAGTTCATCCCTAGAGCCCCAAATTAAAAACAAAAACAAATAAAGAACTAGGTTACATTCACTTTATTTTAGGGTTTTCACTTATATCAGTCAGGAATATAAGCTAGTAAAAAATAAAGATAGCTTTACTCACTCCCTTAGTGAATGATATCCCACTGATCTTAATAATTGTTCTGCTGTAACTACAAATTATCATCTTGTCAGCCTTCATTTTCTATTTGCAAATATTCAGCTGTCATTTAAGATTCCACTCCCAAATAATTATTTTTTCAGAATCATATTCTCGATATGAGGAAATAGCTTATTTCCTTTCTTTCAATGATAAACTTTCTCTTGACAACAATGAAATCCTCTCAAACAAGAAGTAAACTTGAACTTTTCTTTTGATCTCTTTGAGATGAATTAGCACAGAAGCTCTTGAATGTTCCATGCTTCAGAGACTACAATGGAGAATCCATCCTTGATGATTATTATGGACTAGCTAGAGATGTGATCACTAGGAAAATACATTTATGAGAGGGGGGTTGGCTATCTATATTATAATATTGCCCAGACAATGAGAGCACCAGAGAAGATTTGGCTGAAGATATACCATGCATAAAGACTTCAAAATTCTTTTGGTGACAAACAGCAAACAGAAAGTTAATTTGATAGAAAAATCTCAACATACAAAAATACCAAGCCTGCCAGCCATTAATGGTGTGCACTTAAATCCTAGCTACATAGGACACTGATATCTGGGGATCTTAGTTCAGAGCCAGCCCAGGCGGAAAAGTCCATGAGACTCTTATCTCCAATAAACCAGCAAAAAGCCAGAAGTGGGTTCAAGGGGTAGAGTCCTAGCCTTGAGCAAATAAAGCTCAAGAACAGTATCCAGGCCCTGAGTTCAAGCCCTAGGATTGGCACACACACACACACACACACACACACACACACACACACACACACACATTCTTCCAGGCACTGGGTAAAACATAGTAAGCTTAACACTTAATTAGGTTACATGAAGCAGAACTAAATGAAACAAGGACTGTAGGCTATGGAAATACAAAACACCACAAAAAGAGACACAAAAATAAAGAGATGTCCTCATTATCTGAAAATAATGTTGGGGTGCCTTATCAACTCACAAGACTTTCATTAACAGTCGGTTCTAGAAACAACAGTGCCCATGGAATCTGTAAGTATTACTTGGAAGACTCAGTCTAAGAGCATGTTAATATTTCCTATAATATTCATATCAGAAATATGCAGGTGAAAATTCTTTATCATTTTTCCACTTCCCTTGTGAAAGCAAAGCCTTTGCTGGGATCTGATTTATGGTTTAAACAGAAAGAAAAGAAAATAATGACTGTATGCTTGGTTTGAAGAGCAGAAAGAGGTCATCACTCTCCCGCTAGCCTTTGGGTATTTTTGAATCCCTAGAATTGATGTCATCAAGCACTCAAAACAAAACAAAACTGATTTAATATGAAAGAGTGCTTTCTAAGTGCTTCTCTATGTCCCTGTTTTCCCGATAGCTTTCATACATTGTAAATATCAAAGGAAATCAAGCTTTGGTTATACCCATATTCTAAATTACATTTACCCGCCATTTTGGGCACAATGATTAAAGAAAACTGCTTGGAAGTGGAGATCAATTGAACATCTTTGGAAAGAGACACTAATTTTTTTGTGTCTTTTTTTTTTCCATGACCTTGACTACTGAATAAACATGCAAATGACAAGTCTTTGCTTCTGTCTGTACAGTGAAGGTGTTCACAGTGTGAACACAGCAGGATCACATTTATCATTTAGATGATGCATGTGTCAAACCAGCAAAAGACTCTGTTTTTTCCATTGTCACTATATTTATAAAGAAGCAGCACAGGTCAGGAGTCAAGACATTTCCTGGTTTTTGTGCCAGTCCTGCCATCTACTACCCATGTAACCTTCGGCAAATCATGTGCCCTCTTTACGCCTCAGTGCTTTCCTCTATAAAACAGGGAAATTTTATAAAGCAGATGTGAGAATAAAAATAGTTCTACCTCTCTATACAACACCTTAATGATAGTAATAAAAGCATATTAAAAGCCGGGCATTCGTGGCTCACACCTGTAATCCTAGCTACTCAGGAGGCTGAGATCTGAGGATCACTGTTCAAAGCCAGCCTAGGCAGGAAAGTCAATGAGGCTCTTATCTCCAATAAACCACCAGAAAACTGGAAGTGGCACTGTGGCTCAAATGGTAGAGTGCTCACCTTCAGTTGAAGAGCTGAGGGACAGTGCCCAGGCCCAGATTTCAAGCCCCAAAACTGACAAAAAAAAAAAAAAAGTATGTTAAAAAACAGTTCTAGAGGCTGGGAAGGTGACTCAGTGGTAGAGCGCTTGCCTGGCATACATGAGGCCCTGGGTTCGATTCCTCAGCACCAGATAAACAGAAAAAGCCTGAAGTGGCACTGTGGCTCAAGTGGTAGAGCGCCAGCCTTGAGCTGAATAGCTGGGGGACAGCGCCCAGACCCAGAGTTCAAGCCCCACAACTGACAAAAATAAAAACAAAAACAGTTCTAGCTCTAAAACACCTAGGATGAATCCTACACATCACAGGTACCATATATGTTCATTCAATGAAATAAATTAGGAACAAAGGTCTTGGAAAAACTTCCACTTTATTTAGAAATAGCTATGACTAGACTAATTCAAAATGCTCAAAGAACTAATTCTGCAAAGGTGCAATTTTGAAGCGCTTATTTCATGTCTCAGAGCTAAAATACCTTTACATCCTGCTCTTCTTAACCATCTCTGCACCTTTACAAATAGAGCTCTGCAGACATACCTTTGTGTTTTCATGTTTTTTGCTTCTTTGCCTGTTTGGTTAGCACAGTGCCCCTGAGAATACACTTTTCATTGGAAAACCAAGGTGAAGTTTCGAACTTCTGTGAAAATTTGGTCCCTGGAGTTTAAGACCTACGAGGAGAGGTGTGGCCATTAAGCTGGTTCTTGCCACAGAACTGTGTCAACGCAATGCAAGGAGTCATGTCAGCAAGTGGCAGCGTGAATTACCAGCTTGCTCAGCCACCGCCACTTTTGCCTGACAGTTTTACTATTTATAAAAATAAATGGTTCACATGTGGTGACAAAGCACTCCACAGAAACAGGGAAGTGAAGGGGGCGGAAAAGGAGGAGCGGCTGGGTGGGACCACAGCTGTCTTCTGGGAGATTCTAAATAGGAGTGCTGAGGGCTGCCAGAATGGATGGAGGGGCAGGGTGGGCTGGGATGGACGGACAGCTGGGGTAGCAGCGGCAAACAGAAAGTCAAGACCTTTTTATCTTTTCTTTTCATCTTTATATATTATAAAGTGTGGGATCAGACGCCCAGATAGCCAGAGTTGATCTTCCTTATCTGTGGGGTCCATGTTCAAAGTTTAACCAAAGACAGATAGAAAACAGGAGGGTAGGGGTGGGGAGGGGGTAAATCTGTAGTGAAGACGCGCAGAATTTTTTCCCTATCATTACTCCCTAAACAATATGACCGCTTACATGGTGTTCACCTCATACTTGATACTATAGTTAATCTAAAGATGAGTTAAAGTACATGAAATCTTGTGTAGGTTCTGTGCAAGTGCTATGCCATTTTATATGAAGAAACTGGAGCATGCTTGGATTTGTGTTTGTCTGGGGTCAGGAATCCAATCTGCCATGGATGCCAAGGGAAAACTGTGAAAAACTTCATAAACATAAGAAAAGTAAAACAGAAGATCCTGCATACACATAAGAAACCTCAAAATAAGTAGCTTTTTTTTTTTAACTTGAGGAGTAAAGGCTTAAACTCTTGTGAAGCAAGGTTTAAATCTCCTCTGGTCACTGTTATAGCTCCAGTGGCTTGATGACCATCGCTTTAACAAATTAGCTAATTTGATGAAATTCCTAATTATGCTCTCCTATGAGTAGAGCTAATGGAATTAGCTCTATCTTTGAAAGTTGAGGCATTGATTAATGGTGGTGGTGCTCTTTAAGACTAGAATTTTTATAAAGAAGAAAAGCAAGAACCATGGTTCTTACATTTCACTTTGATTCCCCCTCCATCTCTCCTTCCCTCCCTCCCTCCAATGCTTGCCTGCTTGCCTGCCTGCCTTCCTTGCTTCCTTCCTTCCTTGTGCTAATACTGGTACTTGAACTCAGAGTCTCATGCTCTTGCTTAGCATTTTCACTCCCAGTTGACATTCTACTACTTAAGCCACATCTCTGCTTCTCGCTATTTGCTAGTTAACTGGAGATAGAGGCTCTCAATGTCTTCCTGGGCTGGCTTTGAACCTCAATCAGATCTCAGCCTCCCGAGTAGCTAGAATTGTAGGTGCAAGCCTCTACTGCCAGGCTCACCCCGATTTTCATTGATAACTTTAGAGAAAAACCCAACCTGGCTAAAAGTACAACAAACCATATTCTGCTATATGTATTTCTAAGTAAATGATGGCTCTGAACCACGATCCTCAGATCTCAGCCTCCTAAGTGGCAAGGATTACAGGTGTGAGCCAACAGCGCCCGGCTATATATACTTCTTGATAAGCCAAATATCAAGAGCAATACCAAGAACTCAGCTCAGATGCATTCACATCAGAAGAGTCAGACTTTAATCTGACAACCTTTAGTTTTCTTCCTTTCTGTCTTTTCACTACACATCCTTTCCTTCTTTCTATTTTATGGGAGATACAGCATAAGAAAGTCCCTATCCTGACGGAGCATCTGTTCTAGTGGGAAAAATAAGACAGGAAACATGCAGACGAATAGTTAACTAGTACACGTTCCATATGGGGACGTGAAAAGTCAGATGAATGAATTCTGGGGTCAAGTTTGATAGGCTAGGGACCAGATGGGGATCACCCCTGGCTGCAGAGATCCAGGGATCCCCATTGAGAAGAGACATTTGCCTGGGATTGGTGGAAAGAGGAGGGGTCAGTCATGGAAGGGGTCTGGGTGCATGAGCTGTCCAGAAAATGAGAGCTTAGAGGAACAAAACAAATCCATTAGGTCTGCTTTCTCCTATGCACATTTTATCTTTTAGATGACACTCTCTTTCTCTGCAAAACTGGAGCCTCAGTTTTCTACACCATGACCTGGAACAAACTTTCCACATCCCCTAGTGCGAGCACAAGGCCTGGCATAGAGTATGTGGTTGACAAAAGAGCAACAGTTAGAAATGAGCAGCCATGGCTGGGAAGGTGGCTCAGTGGCAGAGTGAGGCTCTGGGTTCGATTCCTCAGCACCACATAAGCAGAAAAAGCGGGAAGTGGCACCGTGGCTCAAGTGGTAGAACACTAGCCTTGATCTGAAGAGCTGAGGGACAGCACCCAGGCCCAGAGTTCAGGGCCCACAACCAATAGAAAGAAAGCAAGGAAGGTAAGAAGGAAGGAGCAACCTCTGCTCATAGTATGAGACAGAGCTCATGGTCTACACTCTGTCCTCGACACCTAGGACAGAGACGCAAACAGAAGCATCTAGAAATCACAGAAAGGAGCCAGTGGCACAAAAATAAGAGGCTTACTTGCAAGCTATTTAGTCTCAAAAGCTTAGTGACTTACCATGACCAGTGTAGTCAAAAGAATCTGCTTCATCGGGGGTGTCAAGTTCATCGACATTGATATCAATTTCATCTGGACTGTCCAGGTTATCATCAGAAAGAATAGAACCTTCGCTTTGGTCCAGAGAGAGATTGATATTTGGCGCTGTGAGTTTGATTCTCCGAGGATGAGTGCCATTGAGACCCAGAGAATTAGGAGGTTCTACGGGAGGAAATAATAGCCACGTTATTAGACTACACACAGGGCTGGCACTGAATATCTCCTTGGCCAAGGAGGAGCTGCCGTGCAAAGAAAGAATCAAGTAAGTCAAGTAAGTGTTTTTGTGTATGTAGGAAGGGCTTTCTCGTTTTGCATACTAGGGATTGAACCCAAGGCCTTGCAAATATTAGGCAAGCCCTCTACCACTCAGCTACATCCTCAGCCCCAATTTGGTGTGGTTTAAAAGATTACTGAGCCAGGTGCTGGTGGCTCATGCCTGTCATCCTAGCTACTCAGGGAGCTGAGATCTGAGGATTGTGGTTCAACGGCAGCCCAGACTCATCTCCGATTAACCACCAGAAAACTGGAAGTGGTGCTGTGGTTCAACATGGTTGAGTGCTCGCCGTAAGCCAATTCCCACAGACTGAACACACAGGCAGATACACTGGGGTCTGAGAGATCGAGTGACCCAAATAAGGAACTTCAATATTCAAGTCATCTCTGAAACGAACTAAATTGAGCCCGACACCTTTTTCCTCACACATTTTTCCCTCTTTTCACTGAGATCACACACTGAATGCAGAGAAAATGGCCCTCTTGGTGAATAATGAAAATGTTTGCATGCAGAACACCACGGAAGGAAATGAGCAAATGCTCCTCTCACCCGGCCTCATGTCTGCAGAGCTGGGACTCAGCGCTCCCGCCTCAAAGGGGAGGTCCATTCCTACATCGTCTGACAGGGGTCTGGAGGAAAAGAGAAAAAGAGAGCATGGACGATTGCATAGACTTGATTTTCACTGAAAAGAAAACCCAAAGATTCTAGGACATTTCCAGTGCAATTAAGGTGACCCAAATATATATATGACCTCACATTAGAATAGTTTCTGCAGTTACCACGCATGACAGCCATGAACACGAATTTCAGCCATGTATGGTCACTTTCCCCACCAGCACACTTGAGTAAACACATTCCAAGTAAAACTGGAGAAGATGGAAATGCAAACACTTAACAAGTAATAGAATTTGGAGTGTAGTTAATACGCATTTTCAAATATATATATATACATACAAACATCATACATATACATGTATGATACAATATATTATATATACATTACGTATATGAGCATAAACATACTTGTGTATGTTTTAGATATGATATAAAAATCTTTTTTATGGATGGATGGATATGTGTACATATCTTTATGTACATAAAGTATATATGAACAGACGTGTGAATATATGAGCTAATTCTGTTTTGCTCCATTTCTTTGGAGGTTTAAACATTCACAGTGGCATGTATTGGTGAAGAGGGCTCTGGCGACAATGTGCCATCTCGTCTCTACTCAGTAATGGTCTCAGGCTCAGTTGCATGAGGTTACGTGGTAAGACACATGCAGGGAAAAGGACAAGGTAGAGAAAATCCTGGCCAATCCATATGCTCTTCTAGTATGTTGACCACTGTAGACCAGGAGTTTCTCCCTCCCCCTTTTTTTTGGTCAGTCTAGGGTTTGAATTCAGGGCCTCCCACTTGCTCAGTTTGCTTCCTTGACTGACACTCTACCACTAGACCATACCTCCATCCCAGCTGGTTAATTGGAGATGAAGTTAATTGGAGAAGTTAAGTGCAGTGGAGTTTTCTGCCTGGCATGGCTTGGAAACATTATCCTTCTAGATCTTAGTCTCTGAAGGAGCTAGAATCACAGACCTGAGTCACAGCTATCTTGACTTATTTTTATTCCCTGCCTCTTATTCAGTAAATCCTTAAGGACCGTGATTTGTAATTTTCTTCTTGTTAGCTCCCACATAATTTCAACCATCTAGGGTGATTCCTCATGACAAATGCACTAACCTAAATTTAAACATGCTAACTTTTCGTTGAAGTTCCACATTTAGTTCTTTTTCTTTGTTTCTTGAACCTTTTCTCGGTGTATGTCTGGTTCTCCCAGTTTGAGTTTGATCAACTTCTCAAAGATCCAAGTCAAATATTTTTGATATAAAAAAGCTACTATGGTAATAAAATAAACTCTATGTGTCTAGTGATAACTGCACTTGCTTTGTTTATTCAACAAATATGTATTGAGTGCCTGAGTGCTGAGACTAGAGGAACAAAGCAGACCCTCTTTCCTCTTCCTCATAGTGGAACTGAGATGATGGATTGAAATGCACATTTCAGAGCTGCTCCCATGAAGAGAAGCGCCTGTGTCTTACCTACCTACTCTACAGGCTTCTCTATGACCACAGCACCAGGGAATAGTATGGTTTGGCTCTTTAATGTCCGTAAAGGCCCATATGCTCAAGACATGATCACCAGCCTATGAAGCCACTGGGAGGTGGTGGAAGTTTTCAGACGAGTGGACCAGTGGGAGGAAGTTAGGTAATTGGGTACATGACCTTGAAAGGAATATTGAAACAGTAGCTCCCCTTCCCCCTTCTTTGCTGCTCAATGGGCAGGTGCCATGATGTTTTGCCTTGCCACTGGAACATGGTCTGTAAACCGAAACCAGAAACCAGAATAATTCTTTTCTCCTTGTAAGTTGGTAATCACAGATATTTTGTCGCAGTAATAGAAGCCTAACAAAGGGAGTTTCTTTTCTCTATAGAGTGCCAATGGCTTTGCCCCTGTGTGGTCTTATAAACTAAACCTGCACCTTATCATTGAGACAGAGAAGTCTGGGGGTGTATCTTGGGGATAGAATATTTGCATAAAGCCCCAGCGCGCACACACACATACACGCAAGTGAGTAAGGAATCAGCAAAGCAAGGCAGTATTACATTAGCAGGAACAAGACAGCCTTTGTCACACAGAGCTCTACTGTGTTTACTAGGTGAGAGAATACCAAATGCAGTGGGAAGGCTGCAAGTCCTGGAACTCAGAGATGGGAGGCAGTTTCTAATGCTACAGAAGTTTGTCAGGTGTTGTGGGTTTTTTGTTTTGTTTTGTTTTGATGACCCAATTCTACTTAATGTGGTTGAGAACAGTTGGATTTCAACCCCTTAGTTCTGATACATCCTGTGAGCTAAATGGTAAGTTATTTCATCCCTTTTTTTCTGCCTCAGTTTCTCATCCATTAAAGGAGAGTGAGGCATGCCTGAACATGAGCATTCAAAGAAAAGGATCATCGATTATCATGGTAGTGCTTTGTGTCCCGAGGGGTCTGACTCAGTATCCAGCACTCAGTACAAGCCAATACCCGGTAACACACATTGAGCTGAAAGTTTGCACCTGAAACACTCTAAATGCACTTGTGTTATTCCTCTAGTCCTCTGTCTAAAAGTCAATGAAACAAAGACATCAGATTCCCATGGCTTTGACACAGCACCCCAAAGTTCATGCCTTACCCTCAAAGTAAACAGGAAAGTGATTTATATGAACAGATAAAATCAGCATCAATTTCATAGATTTTTTAAAAAAATATTTGGCCACACTGTGGAATAACCACAGGAACCCGGGATAGGAGATCCTGGCTCTGCTCTGTATTCCTACTGACAGGCTACTGAAATCTAAGGTTAGCCAACTATGTTTGTATGTGTGATTTGATTACTATAAATACCCAATAGTGCAGTGATTATGGGGAAGAAATATGATCCAAAGAAGAGCCAGGGCCTGACATTCAGGATCCTACATCCCCCTTCATTTAAAAACGATATCCAAAGCAGAGCGCAGGAGTGTGTCACCGTTAGACAACACGTTACTAAGGTCAGCATGCGTTAGGCGTTTGACCAGGTAAGACAGTATTTCACAGCTGTACAAATCTGCACAGAGCCTGGAAACGCCCCAAACTCTCGGATGTTCAGTACTCCTTTCAGCACAACACAGACACCCTGTGAAGAAGGTGCTGGAAATCTAGTGGTGGCAGTCCTTGGGGAAGGAAAGGACTGAAGGCTACGACTCTCTCCCAAGCCCATGGATATCAGAAAAGGCTATGGAGGCTGGTAGGAAACCCTAAGGACGAAGCAAATCTCAGCCAGAACAGCCTAGAAGCAAATCTGAGAGAAATCCCAGCCATACCCTTTGGAAAACACTGCAAATGCACACATACAGCATGCTCATAAATATCTGTAGAAATGAAGTGGCCAAACCAAACAAGGTAGTTGGTAGTGTAGTGAGATTATCGTTTCAGGAGCGTGATGAAAAGTCCCGAGGCGAGGTTGTCTTTTCCACCTGTAACACATACTTAATCTGGGGCTTTCTAGAGACAGAGTAGAGCCAAGCAGAGGCTAGCGGGGGTGGGGTAGAGGAATGGAGACACAAGCCTAACTCTAGTATGGCTGAACTAGAGACATGTCTCCATCTAGAGGACGTGTCAGAATTGTTTGATGACTTCTGCGCTGGATAGTGTTGTAATATTATTATATGTTCACCGAGGCTCTTTGCCTTTTGGGTATATGGTAATATTGCATTTTCTCTGCCTGCTGGGGATTTAGTGGCCACGTAACCTGCTTTGGCTAATCAAGGACAGTGAAGTGGCGGACGTCCTTCTGAGCAGGAGACGTAGGAATGAATGGATGAGGGGATATTGCCTTCTTGCCTCCGTGGCTAGGAATGTCTCCCTTGGGCATGTGCCCAGTGCCCGTGAGGAGCACAGAAGCAGACTGAAGCTCATTGGCTCTGTGAATAAGAAATGAATTTTTGTCCTGCCTGTTTATGAGCATGTTTATGTCTCCTACATGTGCTTCTGTGAGGGATGTCCAGCCATAGGAGATCTGAGAAGTCACTTGGTTCTTGGAACAGATACAGATGCTTCTCGTTGGCTTGCAGTGGCCATCTACCTGTACGGATCATTTCATGTGCCCATAAATGGTGTCATAAATGTCCGAATGGCTCTTGGCAGAAGAAAGTTTCTCCACCCCTGGTACACAGTTAGCTTTTGTTGTGTGCGTCACAGGGAGTATCTGACTCAACATTATGTTCAAAAGTTTATTTCCCAATTTTAATAACCCCTTGCCTAACATTCTCAATCAAGTCCTACATGGATGTCTTGTAGTCTGGGCTGCTAAAGCCCGGAAGAATGATTTTTATGAATGGGGATCAAAGCTCAGAAAGGTATCGAATGCTTTCATATATTCAATGAATGAATGTTAATATACTACCTTTATGGTTTGGATGAGAGTCACTGATTGCTTATTTAGTTTACTTATGACTTTTCCTTGAAATTGGCGTTTGATTTATTTATTTACATTTCTTTTTCTGAACTTCAAAAGGTTGCAGAAAGGGGTCACAGTAGTCAGCGCGATCAGCGCCGTCCCTTCCTCATTCTCCCCCACCACCTCTTTCCCTCTCCACTCATTCGTCATCACTCGATTTCAGTACAATTACTTCGAGAGGATATTATACTAGTGTCCATAGACACTTCAACTGCACACCTAAATAGTCACATAAATTTAATAAAAAATATCTATCAATTTTGAGAGAGAGAGAGCACTCTGGGATCTCACTCTGTAGCTTTCTCTCTGCTAAGAGTAGAGAGAGAGGAAGAAATCTGTGCTGTGGCTGGTGGGTAGAATGCCCTGAACCGTTTTCTCCATAGCCATAGCTTCTTTAGTCTCTATTGCTTCGGTTACCAGCAGCCCAACTGCAATCTGAAAATACTCAATGGATAATTCCACAAATAAATAATCTGTGAGTTTTAAAGAACTATGTTCCAATATATTATTGTAAGTATTCTATTTTTATTGCCAGTTATTGATGCTAATTGATCAAAAAACTTTATCACAGGCATGAACATAGGAGATAAAACATA